TGCACCGCTGCCCTTGTACTGTGTTCTGCAGAAAGAACTGACCAACTGAAAATTATTTATAACAATATTATCAATCGATTCAACTGTAGACCACGTTTCAGTTAAACAGATGAATTTCACCCCGTCATTGTCTGATAACATAACGTGTAGCTCATCAGCTTTATCAAAATTTAGACACTGATATGACAAGTAATACTTGTATTACAAGCAATACTTGTATTCAAGACCGTTTTTCTTCCATCACCTATTGGTGAGGAAGTATTGTAATCGCGAGAAATTTTAAAAATGATTTGTTCGGTCCAAAGTTGAATACTGTTCTATAATATGGTACCCGATCTATGAAGATCACTCTCATAAAATCGAAGATATTCAGAGGCAGTTTGCATGGTACAAGGAAGATGGTAGGTACCCAGAAGTAGGCTTCAGGCCTAATGTATTACTCAGAGGATACAATCTCTATAACTTGGAGAAGCGTAGAAACTATGCTGCGAGTGTATTTTTATATAAACTATTTAATAATGCGATAGAGACTTAAAGTGAGTAAAAGTAAAATTCTTATTCATGTACCTAATGCTAAAATGCAATCAAATTCAAAATACTTTTGCTTAAGCATAGCTAGAACCAATGCGTTGCTTTCCTCTCCGAAACATCCAATGTGTAACAAGTGTGAACGTGCAAGAAACGCTGTAGATGTGTTCCTTTGTAATTTGCGTAGGATAACAAGATTTTACATAACAGTAATTAGCTCCTTTCGTAATTCTAAGATATATTTGAACATTTTTATTTCTTGAAGTTGATTTCTGTGTCCTCGTTAGATGGTGTAACCCATTCGGATAGCCTCTATACGAGTAAATAAATAAATAAATATCATGTTTTTTTGCATCGTATATGACGGCGCCTCCAGTGATGCCAGATCGAACGTTACATTGCAAGTCTCATTACTTAATTTACAGATCTCGTATGTATGCACTCCCACCCCCGGTAACTCTACGTACCTGTTAGGCATATTTCACACATCATAGATTTCGTCGCGCATTTGCCCTTAAAACTTAGAATGAAAGGGAAATATTATTGGACGCGTCTCTGCCTTGGCTCTTTGAGTTCACTGGCAGACGTGTTGGTCTCGTGTGGTTAGGTATGCAGGCAAGGGCAACGTAGCCAAATGGACGGTATTGCGGGTCAGGCTGCACGTATCACGTAAACCTTTTTTACTATTTTGATCACTTACCAGTAATTTGAATTTCTTTACATTAATGATAGAATGCCGATTACTAGGCCAAACACTTTTCAATGATTTTCTCCTGGGAAATTTCAGTATTGTGTTGAAATCTTTTGGACACTAATGCTAAAATATTTTTTTAATGACTATCTCAGATATTTCCTTATCAGATATCGTTGGTCCCTCGTAGACTGATTTTTTTTACCTACAACGTTGTTTTGAGAAATAACGTGGTCCTGAGGTCTATCCATGGGTAACCAGTGATGTTGCGTTTATACGTTCGGTTGCGAACTTTTCATCTCTGAACGCCTTTGTCAGGTTTTTGGAATTGTTTTGTTTTTATTGGGCAAAACTCTGTCTCGTTATGTCTAGGTAGAATATTAGACAGTTTACTTTGGGAATCGGAACTTCTCATTCGCTATTATTATTTTTGGCATGCGAATCTGTGGAGCATATAATTTTGGAACGCCCTTCTACTTTTGACATTGATTAATATCCAACTGACTGACTAACGGAAGGTCGAAAATTTGGAGTCTGCCATTTCTTTTTCTGTTGAAGTTTTTGGTTACGTGGATCTGTGGGTCCTTCGTTTAGTTTCCAGAGTATGGAATATTGGGCCCCAATCACCAATTTATAGAGTTGCACTTTTTTTGTACCTACCTTACGTTTAGTTGTTTAGCGGTAAGTTCTTTTTCATACCATCTGACCACGTGCATTAAAGCAGGTCAAGAAGAAGTTTACTCAATATCTGCTTCCCTTTAGTTTCTTAGGAAAACTTCCATCTGCACTCCTCCAACTTTGTAGCGGTCTTGTAGCTATTTTGTAGCCGATTTCGAAAAGAAACCACCACTACATGACATGTTCTCTCGAGTTCACTCCATTACATTGACCATGATTTTGATTTTTGAGCTGCCGTATTTTTTTTTATAACAAAGGATAACTTTTTGAAGATGATTACTTTAGTACGTTTTTATTTTATTTATTTTTTGCCTTTGCTTTACTTTTCTTATGAAAATGTACATGGTTTTTCGAGTTTCGAGTATTTTAATGAGTAGTTTTGTTTCACAAAGATAATAGAGAGTAGCAGTCTTTCTATCTCTAGGTTTTTTTTTCTGAACAGTAAATTTTAAATACGAGGCAAGTAGCCCATACCTTGTGGAGGAAGACCGCCGTCAAGCTAAGCTTAGGTTTAGGCGCTTTGATATTTGTAAAACCGTATACCATGGTAGACCTTTAGCGGGGTTACATTTTAAACATCTCTTTGTGCGGCAATTTTGGATAATATATTTTTTTAACTTGCACTCCAGTGGAGGAACATTTTTATTTCTAAACATGTGTGTTAGTTGATTGGTTAATATATGTATATTATGATTTTTTTAACGTCTTGTTTTATTTGGCTCTCTGCACCATTAATTAGTTTACGTCATTGCTATTAGATTATTTCCATTTGTGTGGATGGTCAAGCAAAACAAGTTCCAACTAACAGGGATTTGCGTCTCGGATCCGCCTTGAGTCACTGACGCTCTCCGCTTTATTGAGCCATGGCCTAAATTTGCACGCCACTAGATAGCTACTTTGCTTTGACGCACCATTTTCTTTATCGTGTTTCATTAATTTGTTGATTGATTACAAAAAATGGAAGGAGGAAACACCACCATTTCCTTGTTTATGAAAAAAAGCGTGGCAGGGCAGTGAAATAATGTCTACGGACTAATAGTATAAGCCTGTCTGACTTGATACGTTTAATTTCTCTGGGTGTTCCTCAATGATGTGTGAAAATTTAAGGGTGTAAATCTACATGAAAAATTAATGTTAACTTGCTTTAAAAACTATGGTCAAAGAATCTTTCCTCCCAAAAACTCGGGGTGTTGCAGTTAAAAAAAAAATGGAAATTAATTAATATCTTCAGAACCGCTTCAGATATTTCACTGATATTCAGTACGTAGTGGAAGTTGATAAAGTTGTATATTTTTCAATGCAAAAATATTTTTTAGCTTCAACAGTGGCGTGCGTACGGGTATTGAAATCGATATTTTTTAAGACAGGATGGTTTTTTGCCAAAAAAAAATTATTTTCAATTTCAATTTAAAACAAATGATCTCTCTTGAATTGTTTTCGACGTGCCATTTTTGAGTAAAAAGAGAAGAACCGTTCTATTGTCTAACTTGCAAAATTATTATTAATTTAATTGTAAAAGTTAAACACATCAGGGGTAATGAACAACAACAACTGACAACATAAAGCAACGAAATGATTACAAAAATTGTGGAAAATGGCCCCCTTCACTTAGTATGCATGCTCCCGTCCTCCTTCTCATGGAATTGCACAGTCGTTGAAACATCCCCGGAGTGTTCTTTATTCTATCATAAGCTGCAACTATTCTTCCTCTTAATTCCCCTACAGTGTTAATGGGACTAGTGTCTTAAGATAGCCCCACAAAAAGAAATCTAAACTGTTGTGGTCTGGGGACCTTGGTGGACACTCTTGGGGCCCACCGCGGCCAATCCAACGATTTGGATAAACAGTTTGTAAATAATTACGAACCGCTACACTGAAATGCGCTGGTGCACCATCATGCATATACCACATATTATTTCTTATTACCAACGGAACATCATCAAGCAGCAAATGCAACCGTTGTTGACGAAAATTGAGGTAAGTCTGTCCGTCAAGTCATCCCGGGAAGAAGAATGGGCCAATAAAGTGATTGCCAATAATTCTTGCCCATACGTTAACCGAAAATTGGTGTTGGAAATGGGTTTCGGCTACGGCATAAGGATTTTCTTCTGCCCACAAATGATTATTGTGGAAATTCTGAATGGCATTTAGAGAAAAATTAGCTTCTTCCATGAACAGAATCATTGATTCAAATTGCGGCTTTTGTCTAATTTTTTGAAGATGCCCCTAACAAAAGGTTCACACGCCTTGGAAAATCAATTGGAAGTTGTGCTGGTACTCTTAAAATATGGTAAAGATATAACAAAAAATCCACTAAAATTCTCTAAACAATTTGATAGCAAATATTTTGGTGTCTAGCGATCTTCCTCGTACTCGTTTGAGGATGTTCTTCGACTTCATGCAGCACTGCTTCCTCAATTTCAGGTGTTCTTACACTTAGAGGTCTACCTTCAGATGTTCCTTTTTGGACAGAACCAGTTTCAATAAGACGACGATGAATATTGAAAGAGGTTCAACTATCTGGCAAAGCATGATCGGGATGTCTCTGGTGATGAATCCATGTGGCTTGCTCACCGTTACCGTCGGCAAGGCCATATACATAATGCATTTCCGCCATTTCTGCATTTGAATAATTCAAACAAGATTGTAAAAGCTCAATAACGAAAAAGATGTCACAGCGAACAGATTTGAATAACAGGGACTTGTCAGATGTCAAAAGCCAGTAACATATTCCAGAGCAACTAGATATTTATTGCTAAATTGTATTCTTCAATTTTTACATTAATTTTTTTGGACAATAGAATGGTTTTTATTTTATTACTCAAAAGTGGCGCATCGAATATTCGCATGTCATTAAGGAACACCCTGTATGTAACTTATGCTGAACAATGACGAGGTCGCGTGGACAGTCAGCCTACTTGACGCCATTTTATTCTGTCATAAAATGACTGATCATACGGAAAGGGGGCCGGTTCCGAGGAAAACATTCTGCCATCATCATTGATCAAAAAAATACGAGATACAGTTTCTTGATTTTCAGGTAGATACAACTTTTTTATACGCTCAAACACATACAGTTTCAGAAGAGAAATTGAATACATACCTGCGATCTAAAAATAAAAACCCAAAAGTCGTTGCAGGAGAAGACCGTTAAAATATCTTCAGATCCCCTTTCCGCATGTCGAACTGAAGATTCATTTCGCCGCCGTTACACTTCACAATGTCACATCCCCTTTTCACGAGCTTTTTCCCCAAGCACTCCATCTCACTTGTTTCGAAATACGCCTTACATTTGTCTCTGGTGCCTGCAGATATCGGGCTGTATCACAGTAGTACCAAGCAGTGCTCGCCGTCTAGATAGCGGCGGTAACAGATGACTTGTCATTTTTTCGTATCTATAACAAAGAAAGCAGACAGTTAGTGATGATACGCATATTGGAAACATCGACGTTATCTTACAAAATATAAAAAAGAAATTGATTTCAGTGTTTAATCATTAGCTTTACAATAAACAGTAACAAGTAGATTGACTCTGTGCTTTCACCACAATTCTGAACAAATGCAGCATGCATAAATAGTCTGAGTCAACTTTCCTAGGTTCTAGTATTTTTTCTCTTCGTCGGCCATGGAAATCCTTACAAATGGTGAGGCTGAGTGTAATTCAATTGCACTGGTGCCGACTATATTGTCTCGTTTACGAGTTTCCGTTGCGATAAAATACAGCTGATTATCTAGTAATATTTCGCAGTTCCCCATATCGACAAGTGAATAATACTGATGGGTCCGTCATCGCCTGGTAGACAGGGCCGTATTTTGGTGTGGTTTTTTGTAGGCTACGGATTCATTTTGTATCTGCTAACAACTCTTTTATTTAGATAAGTCCCTCTGCCTGTAAAATAAAACGCTACAAGCAAAATATGATTCTTTCTAAATCTCTTCAACTGTTGGGATTTATAAGTTCTAGGGATATTCACAATATTCAGTCATTTAAAACGTTGTTTTGGTCTTTGGCCAGGCACCATTTAGATTATTGTTGTTGTGGTTGGTCACGCAACTATAATCTTCAGATTCACATGTATTGAATCTAAATAAATAAATAAATATTCAGACGATTGAGAGAGTGCAACATAAATTCTTAAGATTCATTTCATTCAAACAAAACATTATGTTTGAAGATATTATCTGTTCCGCCACTGAAAGCTCTCTCAATATCTACACCCTTCAGGTAAGATGGAATTAGAGGGACCTGTCACTATTTTATAATATTTTACACTCTCTTAGTTTTGCTCCAGAACTTTTAAAAAATATTAATCTCCATGTGCCTTCTCGTCAAACAAACCATTCCATGTGAGATCATTTCGTACTACTTATCACTGGACAACAAATTTTGGTTTTTTAATTGTATCTTGTGGGAAAAGTGCACTTCTTTGTTAATTTTGGAGCGCTGAATCCAAAAATGACAATGAAATAAAAAAATTAGTTGCCGTTTAGAAAAAAAAACTTTTTATTTTTAAGGATATATTAAAAAAAGTAACAAGATTCATATGCTTATAAGAATCACTATATGCGCTGTCTTTTTGCTGTTCTTTTATGGATCGTATCTGGAGCATCTCTACCAAGAGTCCAACAGTAGTCTGCAAGCATGGAAGGATTCCACTTTCCCTGGTACCTTTTTTCCATTGTTGAAATATCCTGATGAAAACGTACGCCGTGCTCATCACTTACGGCGCCGCAATTGTCAGGAAAAAAGTCCAGGTGTGAGTGTAGGAAATGTATCTTAAGAGACATATTACAGCCCATCTTTTGATACGATGACAGCATATTTTTGACAAGGGTTTTATAGTTGTCAGCTTTTCTATTTCCCAAGAAATTAGTGACCACCAGACGGAAATCATTCCAAGCAGTTTTTTCAATACCTGTTAAAGTGTTTTCAAACTGTGTATCTTTCAAAATATTTCGAATCTGTGGCCCAACAAAAATACCTTCTTTAACCTTTGCCTTACTTAGTCTTGGAAATTTCTGACGCATGTATTGAAAAGCTGACCCATCTCTATCTAATGCCTTGACAAAGTTTTTCGTATTTTATGCATGTCAATAGGTACTTCATATTGTCATATGATTCTTTCATGTGAACTGCATACCCTACAGGAAGAGATGGTAAAATATTTCCAATATGCAATAACACTGCCTTTAAACTCAATGTTGAACTGTCTATAAACAATCTCCATTCTTCTGGGCTATAGTTTATATATTCAAAGCCGCCAGTAAGCCGTTAATGTTACTGCAGAAAACCAAGTTATTCTCCATATTGAAAAATGGTTCTAAGTCTTTGTGGCGTTTACGAAAAACACATACCGAAACATCGTCTTCTAACAAGTTCCACTGCTGCATTCTTGACCCAAGTAACTCTGCCTTACATTTTGGAAGTTCTAAATCTCTTACAAGGTCATTTAATTCTGACTGTGTTATTTTGTGCGGTTGGTGGCATGACGTGCTCGGTATAAAATCAGGATCTCTTGACGTTGATGGCATATCTTCTTCCTGACGAATCACTCGATCGCCATGATCTGATTCGTTTTCCGATTCGCAAGTGTAGGATCCTGGGGGTTTTGGAATAGGATTTTCGTCACTGTGAGGCACAGGTCTCATCGCAGATGGTATGTTTGGGTAGTTCATAACCGATTTTTTTTTCTTGGACATACCTGTGGCTTGTCCAACACAAGGTACCATGCAAAAGTAACAATCATTAATATGATTTGTAGGCTGTCTCCAAACCATTGGGACAGCAAAGCGCATAGACCGTTTTTTGCCATTTAACCAGCTCCTCAGACTTGAAGCACATGTATTACAGCAGATGTGGGGTGCCCACTGTTTGTCTTGATCACCTAGTTTACAACCGAAATAAAGCTGATATGCCTTTGTTATTAGTGGAGTAATAGACGCAAATAGACGCAAAAGTCACATCACCACACACGTAACAAAACTGATCTGGATTGTTTACACACTTTCGAGACATCTTGCATGAACGCTGTCAGCCAACTGAGGAAAAAATGGCTAATATAAAACAATATAATGTACACGTATGTATAACGTAACACAATCATGCCGATTACATCATCTTTCCTTGCCGAATATAAAAATGTAGCACGTGCATTCTTGTGAATGACAGTATATTAACACTGTCACAGCAGGAACACATATAATTACCGTCTCTAAAACTTGAACTAATATTGAAAAAATAAGTTTCATTCCGGTTTTAGCACATTAAAAATAGTAATATTTTGTTGATTTTGTTTAGGATATTTTTTGGCTGTTGATCAGTGTTATGCTAGTAATGCCTTCCTGTCTAGATCTTCAAGGTTAGCAAATCAGTATTCTAATAAGTTGGATTTCTTCAGAAATCAGAAAAGATTCAAAATTCATTTAGATTCCTGTTTGTAATATTTAATAATTGATTTCCCCATATATTCAAATTTTAATTAAATTCGTTTCAATTTAGAAATGATCTGGATTGCAAAGAGTTTGTGATTGCTTCAAGTGTTACATATCTAAGTCAAAGTCAGGTTAGGTTTACATTAGATTTTCTATGCTGTACTTCAATTGGGCAGTCGCTCGTTGATAAATAAATAAATAAAATGGCTGCTAATGATCATGACTACATTTCAAGGAAAGGAAGTTAAAGTTTTTGACTGTCTTAATCACCTCTTCTGTTCACAACTTGAAACACCATATGACTTGAAAGAACAACGAAACAGCCATACAATTAATAAGAAATATGTGGCAGTGTAAAATTGAAAAAGGTTCGATTCCCTGAATTGGTTCTGAACATCAGTCAGATATTTCTAACAAGAAATAAGAAAAATGTAACTGAAATGTACTCTACTAGTGTTTAAATAAATTTCTTCAAAAATCCGATACATATTCTGTGCTAAAACTTTCAGGACATGCGCTATGTAAAATGAACAAACAAGATTAAAAAAAATAAATTAAAACATACAAAGTAATATTTGAGATTGAATATTCAAGATGCAGATAAAAATTCAATATAGTAAAAGAGTCAGAATTCAGAATTTAAAATCAAAAACTCGTTGTACGAGTAAAATGTCTTTACAATTAACAAATGCTTGATTCTCTATAAGCACTCAGACTCAACGATCTGATATTTAAGGGAAGTTTGTTAAAATATTTTGGTGCTATATGTTTTATACTTCTTTTGGCCTTTAGACGGTCTAAAAAGTGGAGTATTCAAGGTACCCGTACTTCTAGTGTTTTCATCGACGTGAGATACTATTTGACATTCTCGTATATGTATATTGAAGGCAATGCAAGTATCCTCATATCTATGAAGCTCTGTCTATAGTCATCTCTGTATTTTAAAGGACACTCTACAGGAAGTGCACGACTCTGTAGAGAGAATCGACGATATCAATCTGAACCTTGGTCCCATGCCAAAATGACATAGGATATGAGGGAATGACATACAAATGTACTGACTTCAACTCCGAGGATAAGTTTCTGAATTGGAAAACATATTTTGCAAGTCGTTTGAATGTCATATCAATATGTATACATTTTAGTATTTTATCGATATGTATCCCTAAGAATGTTGAACTTTCTATATGATTATGCTCATGGCCTCCTACTTCTTTTAAAGAGAAAAAAAATCATATGCATCATCAGAACAGCGTAGATGTGTTGGATCCAGTTTTAACAGTTTGTGATCTATTGCTCAAGTAAGATGGCAACTGTTGAGAACACTGCAAAACACATTATTATGTATTTTGGGATCCACTATTCCTAAGCTTTTAAGCACTTCATCAAATATCCTTCTGGCTTTAGGCAAATAAAATCGCGTTTTGATATTTAATCCGCCACGTTTTGCTTGATGAGCTTAAAACGTCAAACGTGTTTTTCTTTAGTGTTCCCCTCCCCTTTGATTTTTTTAACGGATCGATTCAAAAAATTAAAACTTGAGGCAATGAAATTGATGCGTGGATACCATATTTTAGAGTAAAATTGACAGATGAACATGTCAAGATGGCCGCTGTGCGCCATCTTGGAGAATAAATTATATGAAAACGGGGGTCTTGTGGCACATCATTTTGAAGCTCCTGACGAGTACTTTATAACCCTAGAATATAGTCAATATTTAACTTGACAAATCGAATAAATACGTTGAGTTTAGTTTAGAAGGTGCTGGAAATCGCGTCGAACACTTTAAAACATAGTAACATCGATATTCATAAAAATATTTGTATATCTCAGTCGTATATCCAATATTGAAGCAGGTTCAGCTTCGTACAGCTTTTGCGTCATATAAGCCCCATAAAAGAAAGTCAAAAGTTGTCAAATCAGGCGAGCGAGCTGGCCATTCCACAGGACCTCGAACGGGGAA